CTCTGAGACTCTCACTGATGATGGACGTCTGCCAGCTGCCTCCTCGACGTGAACCCCCAGAAACATCTGTGCCCCGGCCCGGCCCCTTGAAAAAAACCCGCCCCCTGCCTGAGGGCCAGGTTCTCCTCCCATGTCTCCTTGCGAGCTCTCCAAAGCCTCTCTCGATCTAGGGCCCTCCTCTTCCGGGCACGGTCCTTTTCCGGGCACTGCGTGCACGCCTGCATCGCAGTCTCTTTGGTCTTTCACATAACAAACAGCCTAGACATGTCTCTGCCTGCTCAGCCATTGCGAGGCTTCGAGGTTCGGTTCAACCCATGATTCGACCCATGTGTTACTGGGTTGCGTTCTGAGGACACGCATCTACTGGCCTCTCATGTACGCGAGTTGCTCTAATGCAGGCGACTCAGCTCGAGACAAGCTAATTCTGTCAATTTCCTGTACCTGCGGCTGCCACGCGACGATGCTACGATATCATGAAGCGTCAGCCAACTCCAGTCTCAGAAAGTTATTTGTTGGAATTCTTCTTTTAGGCCCTGTCTAAGCAAACCCAAGAAGGTGTACGCAAGCCGAGGACAAGGCTCAGGCATGCTTGCAAGTGCCTGAACTCGGGTGACTCGGGTGAACCTCTGCCTGCACTTCTTGTGCGAGCAGGACGGTTACATTAACGGGGAAAGGGCAGCTTCTTGCTGCACTGGGAGAGACTTTGCTCTCAGACTCTTATGGCTCTCAGGGCTCATGCCAGGCTTCACCTGAACGCGACAGTTTCGCGACACGTGCCGAAAAGGCCGAGCCTTGAGCTGCCGGGCCTGGTCTCCAGAGCTCCGAGCGAGCCTCTGCGACCTTGGGGCCACCGCGCCCGCGCCCATGCGTTCATGGGACGCTTCTCGAGGGACAGGCTGCCACTGCGCTCCCGCTCGGCAGCGCTCGCGTGGGGAGGCGCGAGCGCAGCGTCGCTTCTTCTCCCTCGAGGCGAAGCGTCGCCGAGGCGGCCAGGAGGGAGGGAAGCGCCGAGTAGCCTCGCAAGGCGAAGAAGGCGCACAAGCGGCGAGCCTCTGCGCCTTCGCTCTGTGCTCTCGGTCTCTGAGCTGATCCACGGCACTCCACTGCGAAGTGGTAGCACTTCTCGGGTCTCAGGAAATGGACGGCATAGCGCCTCACAAGACTGGTTGTAGTCCAGTTTCTGTTTCTACGTGCAGGGTTTTTCTCCCACAAGCGGTTTTTCCCTGCATTGTACGTTGTGATTCACAAGACTCAGTCTCAAAATCCGCTCGTATACTGCTACTGTAGCTTCTCTAGCTGCCTCTACGCATCCTCTAGGTTAAGACCGCTAGTACGGCCAGATTCTGCCAGCAGCCAGGGCGCAACACGTCCGCTGCAGGGCTTCGGCCCTCCGCGTCGCAGACCGGCTCTGGGACCTCCTCGCACTCGCTCTACGCTTCGCAGTTGCCCGTACCCCGGCCCTCTGTTCAATCCGACCTCGGAATCTTGGAGAAATCCCACCGTCTGCCACTCCAAATGTGAAGAGCTTTCTGCGCAAAGGATCCAATAGTCCTGCAGAGACAAAGCCGGGAACAAAAACACCACGCAAGCACGCGCGCGAACGCGCACGCACGCACACGCACATGCGCACATGCGCACATGCGC